ACAGTAAGTAAAGCAAGTAGACAGCCCTCAGAATGGGAGAAGATATTTGCTGGTTATGTCTCCGACAAAGGTTTAATAACCAGAATCCACAGAGAACTCAAACGTATTAGCAAGAAGAGAATAAGTCATCTCCTCTCAGGGTGGGCAAGGGACTTGAAAAGAAATTCCTCTGAAGACGACAGGCGCATGGCCCACAAACATATGAAAAAATGCTCACCATCCTTAATCATCAGAGAAATGCAAATCAAAACTACTTTGAGATATCATCTAACACCAGTAAGATTAGCCCATATCACAAAATCACAGATGCTAGCGCGGATGTGGAGAAAAGGGAACACTTCTACACTGCTGGTGGGAATGCAAACTAATACGTTCCTTTTAGAAAGACATCTAGAGAACACTTAAAGAACTAAAAATAGAACTGCCATTTGATCCTCTAATTCCTCTATTAGATATATATCCAGAAGATCAAAAATTATACTACAATAAAGATATCTGTATCAGAATGTTCATTGAAGCCCAATTCATAAATTGTCAGGTCATGGAAGAAGCCCAAGAGCCCATCAATCCACAAATAGATCAATACATTGTAGTATATGTACACCATGGAATACTATGCAGCCATAACGAAAGATGAAGACTTTACCTCCTTCATGTTTACGTGGATGGAGCTGGAAAATATTCTTCTTAGCAAAGTATCCCAAGAATGGAAGAAAAATTATCCAATGTACTCAGCCCTATTATGAAACTAACTTACAGCTTTCATAGGAGAGCTATAACCCAATTTTAGCCCAGGAACATGGGGAGAGGGGAGATGAAGGGGACATGAAGGGGAAAGGAGGGGAGAGGGTGGGTGGAGGAAGATTGGTGGGATCATGCCTATGATTCATCCTATAAGGGGCATGTGAATCTCTCTAAATGTAGAATATAAATGTCTTAACACAATAACTAAGAAATAGACATGAAGGCTATGTAGCTATGTTAACCAGTTGGATGAAAGTACTTCAAATTGTATACAGAAACAGTACACTGTACCCCATGATAGTATTAATGTACACTGTTATGATTTAATAAAAAAAGATAAAAATAATAATAATCCTATTTCTATGTGGGCAAGAGACTTGAATAGAAACTTCTTTGATGAAGTCAGGCACATGGCCTACCAATGCTCATCATCCTTAATCATCAGAGAAATGCAAATCAAAACCACTTTGAAATATCATCTAACTCCAGTAAGATTAGCTCACATCACAAAATCCCAAAACTACAGGTGTTGGTGTGGATGCGGAGAGAAGGAAACACTTCTACACTGCTGCTGGGAATGCAAGCTGATACGGCCTTTTTGGAAAGAAGTTTGGAGAACACTCAAGGAACTAAAAGTAGACCTACATTTTGATCCCGCAATTCCTCTACTAGGTATGTACCCAGATGATCAAAAATTATTTTACAACAAAGACATTGCACCAGAATGTTTATAGCAGCCCAATTCATAATAGCCAAGACATGGAAACAGCCCAGGTGCCCATCTACCCATGAATGGACTAACAAATTATGGTATATGTACACCATGGAATACTATGCAGCCATAAAAAGACGGAGACTTCACATCTTTTATGTTTACCTGGATGGAGCTGGAACATGTTCTTCTTAGTAAAGTATCCCAAGAATGGAAAAAAAAGTATCCAATGTACTAGATACTAGTATGAAATCTATATATAACCACCTACACAATCATACGAATGGCAAAACATAACTATAGTTCATAAAGTAGAAGGGAAGAGGAGAGAGAGGGGTGGGGAGAGGAGATTTGGGAGAAGGGAGGGTATTCAGGGGGACCTCACCTAATGTGCATGATGCAATGGTACATTTCAAAACTATTAAGAAGTGAGTATAATTGTGATGGATATGTTACTTGGTTCAATGTAAACATTTCACATTGTATATTGAAGCAGTACCCTGAACCCCATAAATGTACAAAATTACAATTTAATGAAAAATAATTATTAAAAAAAAAAAAGAATTGGCTCGCCCTGGGAGGGGTGGTCTGTCCCCAGTTAGCAAGACCCAAGATGCTAGAACATCAAGAATATAGAAAATCAGACCAAAAGGCTGGCTGTGTTGGCTCATGCCTAATAACCTTAGCACTGCAGGAGGCCAAAGTAAGGGGGACTGCTTGAGCTGAGGAGTTCAAGACTGGCCTGAGCAAGCGATACCCAATCTCTACTAAAAATAGAAAAGTTAGCTGGGAGTTGTGGTGGGCACCTGTAGTCCCAGCTACTTGGGAGACTGACACAAGAAGATCCTTGAACCCAGGAGTTTGGCATTGCTGTGAGCTACGACACCACACCCAAAGAATAGAACAGAACAGGAAAGGAATGCAAAGAAAAAATATATATATACACCATACTTCAAAAATTTACCGAAGGCTGGGGGCAGTGTGATTCACAAGCACTTGAGGCCAAGTGGGAGTATCACTAGAAGCCAGGAATTGGAGACCAGCCTGAACAACATAGTGAAACCTCATCTCTACCAATAAAATAAAATTTAAAAATGCAAAGCAAAAAAATAAATAAAACCTTATAGTGGATCCTCACTAAAGACCAACCCTGACCAAAGCCTCCGGAATATCTTCCATGGTGGCCTCGTTTCTTTCCCTACTACAGGGACTCTGCTCATGGTGTTGCTTTGTTTGGGAAAACTTCTTGCCCAATTTAACTCATTCATACTTGAGCTCAGCTGAAGTGTCATTCTGTTAGGCCATCCCTGACCTAAGTCAAATCCCCTTCCTACCGTGGACATTTAAATAGCTCCCCATAGTCACATGCCAGAGCTTCCACCTTCCACTTCTATAAAGATTAACAGCCATTGACCCACTAGACACTGCAAAGGGCAGAGCCCACATCCGCGTTTAACAAGATGGGTCTCATTTTCCACATGCAACACCTCAGGGGTCTGAAGTGTCAGTGATTCAGTTGGAATGGGCCTAGGCTGAGGGGTCCAAAGGGTCAGTGATCCAGTTGGGACGGGCCTAGGCATCTGCAGTTTTTACAAGCCTGGTCTAGGGGCCTTTCCCCTTGCCAGGATTCCAGAGTCTCCAAACCCACTGTTGGCCCTTTGGTCTCCATTGACTCTAGCTGAACATCTAAGATGCCAGACTAATATGGCCTTCTGAGCTAGTAAGGGTTAACTTAAGCGGACTATTAGAAAAAGGCATATTAGCACCTGGTTCTAGTGTGGCTTCTGTAATTGCACCACTCGCCCTGCAACTCCGATTTCATTACAATCACCTGAGACTCAATTCTGTCCCACCCTTGTTCCCCCAGGGGGGCGCCTCAGTGTCCCAGAAGATGCAGTTAGAATGAGAATCCAAATATAGTGCAGATTAGATGGTTAAGAGTCAAAGCTAAAGCTATTCATCTAACTTTTCTGTAGACGCCTACACGTTAATGCTCTGAGCACATTACCATCTGAAGTCCACATCGTGTCATCTTAAGCTGCCCACAGCTATCCTTCCAAGCCTTACTTGCAGCATACTTGTGATTGAACACGTCAGGTGAGTTCTCCTAGGTTCCTTTCCCACTTTGTACCTCCTAAGGTCACCTGTGCACTGAAACGCTGACCTCCCTCACTGGCCCATTCAGGGTCCTGACTATAGATTCCCTCCTCAGGTCTCATACCATCAAGGACTGGCTCTGCCTACAGCTCCTCCAGAAGAACGTGCCTTTATTCACTCAACTTACAAATTAAGCCTCAGCCCACAGACCTGCCCAAGTAGTAAGCCTTATGGTCTACGAGAGCCTCTAAGTTTCAAGCAGCTACAACCTAGTTCAGCCTGGGCCACCATATACCATCAACCAGCATTAAAGGTAATGTGGCAGGCCCAGACTGTCAGCACAGATAAGCTTTAAGACTTTTAAAGACAGATTGTGGAGTTTATGAATTGTTTTGCAATATCTTTATTTGGCTTTGTCAAGATACACCACCTTTCATGAAGTGTTTTGAAGGAGGTGGAAGAGAGAAGAGAAAGCTCACTCATCTGCTCCCTTAGCACCCAACTCGGGACGTTTTTTCACGTTTGTTAAATGATGTATTTGAAGCTGAACGTGCTGTCACAGGACAGGCGCTTGCCTTTGCATCTCCCACACAAATCTTGACGGTGGGGCCGCTTGGGGTCCACATGGCGAAGTTTTACGGGGCAGGAACATCTAGTTTGTTTACAATTCTAAAAAAAATTAAAGTGAAAAGCACAGACACAATGAGCTCTTGGTGCCTTCCTAGGATGTAGTTATTTTTGTCAATTTAGATGCTTTGTGAACAGACTAAGCTTGTAGTTGTGTCTACACCTCTACCTAGTAATGACAGGAACAGCAGGTGGTCCACGCTGCTGGAGTCGTGCTATATGGTTGGGTTGAAACATTAAGGGCAGCGAAGGGTGAATTCAACAATGAAAGCCCAGAGTGAAGCCCCCCTACCTTAGAAACGCGTCCAGCCTAATCTAAGTGATAATAAATGGCCTTCCATACTTAGAGTCTCTCCACCACCCTAGGGCGTTAACGCTTCCAACATCCAGCCTGAATCCAGTACATTAAGCTGTCTCAACTGGCAATTCAAGCTCCATTTAGCTGTTCGATGACAGGCAAATTTACTCATTTCTTTCCTCTTGAACACTAAGCCCTTTAGCACAGTGCTAACAGCAAGCAGTGTTACAAGTTAACCCTCCATACAACTGGGAAACTTAGATTTATCTTAAAACGAAGGAGTAGGGCGCTGGCCCCATATGCCGGAGGTGGGGGGTTCAAACCCAGCCCTAGACACATACACACACAAAAAACACCCCACCTACAAAGCATCCCTTTGAGTTCTCAGGCAAGACAAACTTTAACCTCCTGCCTGTTCATACTAAATGCCAAGTATATCATAAAAAGCATTTGAGTAAAACAGTCAACTTCTACTCCCTTATTAGAAAAATTTTTCAGTTTGTTTCCTCTTAGCTGGTAAAGCAAGCATCTTCCATGTTGCAAGTCAGCTAACAGTTGTAAGAGAGGTTTACATGGCCAAGATTTGCAAGGGCAGGAGGAAACCAACGCCCTGTTTTCTAGCTGATTATTCCTACAATTCCTAGTCAAAAAAAACACATACCCCAAACCCAAGGTCTGGGAACCTAACCTTTTTTAAAATCCACCTAAGGAACTAGAGCAGAAGCCCTCTACCACAACCCAACTCAAACAAGACGCAAAACATATGATTTACTTGACAGGTGATATCCTCCACTCGGTAAGGGTTATAAGACTTCTGGCAAGTTCTGCAAAACTGTTTGAAGTAAACCTGTAACAAGAGGACAAACATAGAGCAAGAACCCCTTGACACTCGTGCCAGGAAGATGTCAGGTATGCGGGATTGCTTACCTTGTTGGTGCCCTGTACGCACCACACGTACGCGCTCTCCCAGCGGATGTTGCAGTCCTTACAGTGATAATAGCCGTATTTCTGTTCTAAGAACTGAACAACAGGATATCAGAATTCAACCAACTTGACCCCTGAGTTACCCTCCATTTCACACACTAGCAAAGATCTTAGAATTGGCATCTCCGTTCCAGACCCTACTCTCTTCCATTATAGGTTTGGGTAAGGCCCTATAGTACAGTAGCTAACATAGTTAAGTAAATAAACACAGGCCCCAAAAAAACGTTTATACCAGATTAACTTGGCTCATTGTCAACCAGCCTTATGTGTTTTCCTTCAGGCAACGGAAAAGCCAGACACCCAGGGCCCTCCAGAACTTGGAATTCTTTTGAGGGTTTTCTGGAGGACAAATTCTAATCTTGGAATATACGTACAGATATGGAAGTTACTAAGTTGAAGGCAAGGAATAAAATCCGCACCTAACATACTTTAAGGCATCCACCCAAGATCAAGTTCTCTATGCTGCTGGTTAATTACCAAGCTGTAGGGCTAGTTATCTAAGTTGTGGGGAAGCCCTGAGGCTTCCCTTCTTCCCTCCCAGTGAGAAATAAGTTTTAAATAGAGGCCTTAAGAATTAGAATAAAAAGTGAAAAGATAAAAGAATTAGAAGGAACTATCAAGAGTGCTTAACGCGATTTCACAGGGTGACCAGACTGAAGTTCACGAAGGTTGGGGCTTGCTGGAGAGCACAGCTCGTGCCTAGCCAAGCCGCAAAGCAAAGCCCTGGGCGCTTGATTCACTCCAGCGGCCCGCTCCGCGGCAGCCCCAGCCCCACCCGCAACGCCCCGCCCCTGCCCGTGATGGCCGAGCAAGAGACCACCAAGGCCCCCACGGCCTCCCACTAGCTGTGACCCCACTTCCTGGGTTACAGCTGCTCTGCGTTTGTCCTGGCCTTGAAGGGGTCGTCCTACTGCCTGCAGCGACACAGAGCAGCCCGGCAGCCCTTGTGTCAGATTGGGGTGAGGGAAGGCTTTAAGAAACAAGGCAAATTCCCGAGCAATTTAGAACTGCAGTTGCGCAGCAGACAACTGAGAAAATGCCTTGAAGTTTCAGGGAGAGTGAGCAGGATCCCAGCAGTCGGCGGCTGAGGGTCTCGCCACACTTAGTGTGACTGTTGGGGACAGACTCTCCCACCCGCAGGGTCGCCTTCCGACCTTCTGCTCGTCTCGGGTCGTCCAAATGCGTGGTCCAGTACCGGGTTTTGTAGGACAAGCGTGCCTGAACTCAGCATGTGGAAGGGCCACAGGTGGGTCCGCCGGCCAACCCGCGCGGCACCCTACCCTCGATGGGGCTGTCATACTGGGGAAAGCGACCGCGGGAACACCAGCGGAGCCCGCACTTGGCGAAGCGCGTCCCAACGGCCCCAGGCGAGGGCCAGGCTGGGCATCCGGAGGCGACCCACGCTTCCCCCTGTGCCGCTAAGCGCCCGGCCGAGCCAGGCCTCACCTGGAATCCCAAGCGCTCCTTGCCCTGCTCGGGGCTTTTCAGCGACGACCTCTCTCCAGCGGCGGCCGGCTCCCCTCCGTCCCCTCCGTCGCTGCCGTCCCGGGGCCTGCCCGCTGGCGGAGGCTGCTCCGGGCTCCTGGGCGCGGGCGGCGGAGCGGGCTCGCCTTCCCCGGCCTCCTGCTCCCGGCTCGCCCGACCCGCGCCCTGCGCCTCGTCGTCGTCCTCAGCCTGCGGCCGTCCGGACGCTTTCCTCGCCGCTGCCTCTCCCTCCTCCGGACCCTGCAGCCTCGCCGGGGGCGGCCCGCCTTCTCCCTCTGTCGCCCCAGACCTCTGCTCGCCCGCCGCAGCCTCGGCCTCCTCCAGGAAGGCGGCGGGGCGGCGGGAGGCCACCGGCGAGTACACGGCGACTGTGCGCGGGAAGCGCACGGGCCGCGGGGCGCCCTTGGGGGGACTGCCCTGCTCCCGGCCGCGGCGGGCCGGCTGCTGGGACGCCGCGCCCCCGCACGCCGCTCCCTCGGCTCCGGGGCCGGCCGGGGGACCCGGGTCGCGGGCCCTGCGCGGTAGCGTGCGCCACCCCAGAGAGCACTGCACCGAGGCGTCGCTCTGCGGGTTCACCTGCACCGCCGCGTCGCAGCTGGCCGCCCTGCAGAAGCGCGGGCCGACGCCCGGGCTCACCTGCGACAGGAGGGCTATGAACTGCGCTCGCTGGTAGCTGTCGAAGAAGTTGGCGGCCGTCTGCTGACCACAGCCCGAGAAGGACGGCGACACCGTCCCCGCCGCGGAGGACGACGAGGCGGGAGGGCAGCCCCGGTTCGCCGCGCCAGCTCCTTTGACTTTGGCCTTGGCGGCCGGCGAGTAGGAGTACCGGAAGGAGCAGGGGGAGCACGCGGAGTACGTATAACCGTCCAGCACTTCGTCCCCTAGGGCAGCCATGGGCACAGCTCCGACCTCTCCTGCCCGCGCAGCCGCCTAAATAGCGACGCGCCCGGGCGGAGGCGGGCCGGGCCCTCGCGGGGCCCCCGCCCCACTAGCGATAGCCGCGTGGCGCTGCCCCGGGCGCCCTTCCAGCCACCGCCTAGGGTCCCCGCCGAGGGCCAGTCCCTGGTGGTCACTACGGAAATCCTCCACACACGGAGATCGGCGCAGTTACCCTTAGATGGTCTGGGAAGAAGGCTTTCTCTGCCATGGAAGTACTGAGCAAGCTGCCCGGGTTAAGGAGGATTTCAACACGGGGGAATTATCATCTGATTAGCTGAGCCAGGTGATCCCCATACCCTGACTGTACAGGTGTCTGGATGGCAGAGGCGGGTGTTTCTGGCTTGTCAGAGAAAAGAAATTTTCTTTTGAAAAATTGTGAGAAATTTTGGGGGCCCAGCCTATCACTTCAGACTGTGATTCTTCTCAGAGCTGTTCACAGAAGTCCACCCGCTGAGCTCCGCCAGTAAATGCCTGGGAAAGGCCCCAGGGCATCTGTATCTAGGCTAATTGTTTTCTTCTCTGGCGTGTGTCCCTCCCACCTGGGACCTGGCTACCGACTAGCTTATTTTGGGTGGATAGCTGTTCTACAAAATTTCCTCACCAAACCATCCGTCCAGAAGATAAACTGATTTGGGATGAGTTTACATAAATTCAGAAGGACAATGCTTTGTCCATTAGGCATTGGTTGTCCGTTACCAATAAGCAGATATCAGATCAAGTAATCAAATACATCAATTTTCTCTGGTTTGATAGTGGTTAGACAATAAAACACTATTTTCATTGTTTAATTGACCCGTTTTGGAACTTTTCTGAATACAGGTCAACATTCAACATTGCCAGGTATTTAGAAGTTGAATAAACATACTTTTTTTTAAAACAATTACATTAAACTCGATTATGCTTTACAAAGATAGTTTGTTTTTACTCATAAGATAATGCACCAAAATTCTACATTTCCAAGACCCTGTTTTCTAACAGTTTCTATATTTAAAGCTGGCATAGAAATTGGTAACTGTAAAAACCAAAAAGCACTTTTAACTAGTTCAGGCCACACCTGAGCTGCCCCAGGTGCGAATGATATTACAACATCGATTTGTAATGGGAAGGCCATAACTGTTACACGTATGATAACTTGAACCAGTTGTTTTTTGTTTTTTTTACATAAACCACATGTACTACCACAGACCATAAATGTGAGTAATATCTCAGCAAGATAGAAGCTCCTGTGCATGTATCTCCACGCTCAGAGAGAAGTCTGGGTGGTTTCCATCATCATTAAATTATCTGCTTTCACTGTGCCATAGGAAGTGTCTGCCATCTCCTCTTCTTTGAGTTTCTTATAAGAAATATCTGTATCTTCATCTTCCTCTAGAGGATCTTGCTTGTGCAACATTTCGTTCCCATACATTTTGTATATTAAAACAAAAATCCCTGCCTCTGCAGACTGGAAAAGGGCATAAAGCAAGGGAAACATGTACATGCTTCCTATGAGCTGTGGCGGGAAGGCCAGTTTGAGAATGGCAGTGCAGAGCTGCACATTCTGACTACCTGTTTCCAGACAAACAGTCCTCTTGCAGTTGGGCGGCAGGTGGAATAGCGTAGCGAGGCCGTAGCCTGAAGCATAGCCTGCCAGAGGCATGAAAATTGCTATCACATAAACAGCTGCAGGGATCCGTGCCAGCAGTTCGGGTCCTAACATAGTGCCGGTCATTATGAAAAGGACCACCAGAGTCAGTAGCAGAGACCACAGGGAAACCTAGTCACAGAAAATGGATAGATTAGTCATCTATAGGGAGGCAGCTGGAGAGGACTTACAGGCAAGAGAATCCCAAACTTTCAGCAGAAGACACCATCTAGTCTGACCCCTAACACAAAATGGAGATCTTTGGCAGAATATTTTGAAGATGTGCAGGTCCCTTCTTCCAGGAAGCATCCAGAACTGTGTCTATAATTGTGTGGAGCTTGGCCCTATGTCCAGTGACAATGGGCCTTCTATCATCTCAAGCCATTGGCCTGGATCTTGGCCCTCAAGAACAGCTGAAAAACAGCTCTTCAGAAGTTTAAAGGGGAAGGATACTCTCCTCCGGGCAGATTATCCCCAGACCTTAAGCTCCAATCATCTAACTCTGTTCTGGTGCTCTGCCTGTTCTAAGAATGCATTTAATTTGTGAATGTACCCCTTAAAAATGGGGCAGTTAGAACTGAGTCCAATACCCCAGGTATGGTCTGATGAACAGAGTCCCCTATATAGGGACCCATGTTTTCCATAAGAAATTTGTTCTCATTTTACACGTGAAATAAATAGCTATCAAAATTTATAAAACGTTGTGATCTTTTTCACTTTCAACATATTTCATATTGCAGAGGACTGAAACAATTGCCTACTCTTAGATTATGTAAGAGAAAAAAATCTTGCTTGTGCAACCTTTCATTTCCATACATTTTGTATATTAAAACAAAAATCCCTGCCCCTGCAGACTGGAAAAGGGCACAAAGCAAGAGAGACATGGACGTGCTTCCTATGAGTTGTGGCAGAAAGGCCAGTTTGAGAATAGCAGGACAGAGCTGCACGTTCTGACTACATGTAAAGATGTGAAGAATTCTTTGAAATTTGGAAACTCCACCCTTTTTCATTTGTTCATGAGAAAACTCCCACCCATAAGTTTCTAATGATGCTTAGGAATTACTAGAAGGATTTTAGATATAACACAAGTGACTTCTGCATAAACTGTGTCATCTTGATGTTCTAAATGGTACGTTTCATTCATTCAGGTAAAACAGACTGTGTGAATAGTGAGGTGGAAGCCTACAAATTCCTCTCCTTGTTCTCTTTCATATTGGTAGCTAACTCATTTTCTGTTTTTAATGGGGAGGGAGAATAGAGATTTTTTTTAAGTGGGGAAAGGAGAATAGAGTTTCAGAAAGAACAGCTTAAATGTTGCTTCCGGCTCCCCAGATATCTGGGAGGAAACCCTTTTTTGCAGTCCATGGGATTGGCATATATCTTATACCCTTAAAAATTAAAGTTTATGTCTTGGTGCGTGTGGCTCAAGCAGCTAAGGCACCAGCTACATACACCTAAGCTGGCAGGTTGGAATCCAGCCCAGGCCACCAAACAATAATGACGGCTGCAACCAAAAAATAGCCAGGCGTTGTGGCAGGCGCCTGTAGTCCCAGCTACTTGGGAGGCAGAGGCAAGAGAATCGTTTGAGCCCAGGAATTCGGGGTTGCTGTGAGCTGTGATGCCACAGCACTCTACCCAGGGGGATAGCTTGAAGCTCTGTCTCAAAAAAAAAAATGTTTATTTGGTCAAAAATTCTACCCCAGAGGATGCTTAAATAATTATTACATAAAGTAATACACAGGTATAATTGGTAGAAACCAAACTTTTATAAATCAAAACATTTATTATATTAAATTTCAACACATGTCACACTTGAAAGTATTGATGAGAAATCTGATTCTTCATTTTGAAAATATTGGCTTCAAAGTCCCTTTGAACTGCTTTAGGTCATTTGTTGAGCACTAATATCGAATGATTGGATGCTCATTTTAAAGTGTTCACAAAAGTATAACAATCACATAAACTATATCTTAATAGTGTGCTAATTAAAGAATAGAGATGGGTTCCCTTAAATTCAAAGGCAGCCAGTCTTATTGACTTGTCTATTAAATATATTTTTTCCATTTTCAGTGGGTAAATAGTTCATTTGGTTGATTTTATTGTAGAATTCCTTGGGTTGTATAGTAAATGCCATCATACTAATAGTGATAGCTTAAAGAATATGAATAAGTTTTTAATGCATCTTAAGATTCTCTTTGGATGTATTATGTATAATAGGTTTACATGTGAATGTTTATTATGGATGTATTATGTATAATAGGTTTACATGTGAATGTTTATTATGGAGCAGGTTTTCTTTTATGCAGGACTGGATATATGTATAGAAAAGCATCTTCTGCATTTCATATTAATAAAGGTTGGCTCCTCTGTTTAATCAGATTACCCTAGAAAATAAACTAATATAAGTAAAATACAAAAGATTGTGGCTTCTTAAATCTACATGATTGAAACACAGGTGCAGCTCTTTTTCTCTTCATTTGACTAAAGGAATTTGCCTGTGCATTTTAATGGTAATTGTTAGGCATTTGGTTAACTTCTTAAAATGGACATCCTGATCATTACATACTATTTTTCATCACTATTTATGAGTTTTCAAAGAAAGCTTAATTTATAAAGATTAAGGAAATATTGCAAATATTGCATAAATAATAGAAATCCCTCATCCTCTCACTAGCTTTAGAAGCCATATCAAATCTTGCAATGGGGAAGGAAAAAGAAGCACAAATTTAGTAATGGCAATATAATCTACATTATTTATCCGGACTTCAATTTTATTTTGTGCTTTAAAGCCAATATGTTGTGTATTCTATTGTATTACTGTAATGCAAGGGTTCTCCACCTGTGGGTCACGACCCCTTTATAACAATGAAAATACATCGCAGCATTAGGAAGGTTGAGAACTAGGGCTATAATGTAAACATTTTGATTATTTTAGTCTTATTAGTGGCAACATATGTTTTAAAAATTGAAGGAACCTATTACAGGGTTTTTCAGAATTACAGTTCCACTTTTGAAAATACAGTAACGCATTTCTAAAATACTGCACAGATTCTATTAAAATAATTTTATGTAATTACCTTTGATTTTTAGTATTTACAGATAGTGGAACATTGTTGCTATTCAATTGCACTGTCATCTTTCCCCTTCCCCCATGACCCGTTTATACTTCTCTTAAACTGGTTTTCTGTAAGCTATGTTTTAATGAAAGCTACCATTCTAGGAATCCCAAATGGTGGATAAGACCTTTGTTGCATAAACTTTTTTTTTAAGCCCTTTTCTTCCTCTCCCCTCTTCCAAGACTTCCTAGCATTTCAGCTGTGGGGTGTGGAAGCAAATATGTGAAGGGAAGACGCTCTTACCTTCACAATGTAGTCAGCCACCCGGTTGTATTTGTAGCGAATAAACACGCCCAGGCCAATAGGGATGAGAGTGCCGCAGAGCGTCAGGGTCACGGCCCCCAGGGGTAGTAACTGCACCAGAGGGGTGTTGATCCAGGCCCTGCTGTAGATCCACAGGCACAGGGGCATCAAGACCAGGGCCAGCAGCGTGGAGGAGATGGTCATGATGATGCTGAAGGAAAGAGATGGGGGGAATCAGAGCCGGCCCGAGCCAAAGAGCCAGTCAAGCTTCTTCCTACACGCTGGGGAAAGGGGAAAGGAGGCGCCCTCCTTTGTGTGGGGAGAACTTACTTCATCCCTGGGGAGTGCCAAGAGAGCAACACCTGTAAGCCCAAAGGAAACAGGAACCAGGGGCAGGGGGAAAAGTCAGAATCTCGGGACTGCTGCCCCAGGCTTTATAAGGCCTATTGAGTCTGGTGGCTTCTGAGGGCAAGGAGTGTTTTTTGCTTCCTTTTCACGCTCCTAGGCACCCCCAACGGTAGACAAGATAAAGCGGCTTTATCAAAGCTACTTGTTGGACTGAACTCGATGGCACAGCACAGTATAGGACATTACTTTCTTCATAGGGCCAACAGCCCCATTTTGCTTTTACATTACCGGAGAGTCCTAGCTCCCCCTTCTCTTTGTCTTCAGTGGCTGAAGACTTGGGTGGGTCCCCCAAACACTCAGGAGGATGGCAGAGCTGATGGGCGGCGCTGGGGGTGAGATCCCGGCCCTCACAGCCGCTCTGTCGCCTAGATGGTTCCCCCTGCAACACACTCTCGGGGCTGCCTTGCCTTGCAGAGCCCGGGGGAGGGTGTGGGGGGGGGGACACAAATACTCCCTTTCCTCTTTCCTGCTCCATGCCTTATGCCAGCCACCTCTGCTTCCTCGCTCCTTCGTCTGAACCCACGGCTGTGAACGGGGTTGGCTGGAGTGAGGACGACGCTAAAGGGACAGCCACCATGCCTCATACCTGAGGTTCATGTCGCCGTCCACCAGCAGGGACATGAGATTGGAGAGATTTCCGCCGGGACAGCAGCCGCACAGGAGCACCGCCACGGCGGCCACCTCGTCCAGCTTGAAGGCGAGGGCCAGCAGGAAGGCCAGCAGCGGCAGGAAGCCGAACTGGCAGAGCGCGGCCAGCAGCGCGCCCACGGGCCGGCGGACGTGCGCCCCGAAGCGGTTCACGTCCACGGTGCAGCCCAGGCCCAGCATCGTGATGCACAGGGCGGCGCCCACGAACACGTTCAGCCCGTGGTTCAGCGGCGTGTCCCAGAACAGGGGCCCGGGGAGCGCCCAGGGCCGAGGGAACGCGGAGGGGCCGTGGGTCGCCGCGCCGCCCGCGAGCGTCAGGCTGCCGGTCGTCGGCTCCGGGGTCGGGGTCGGGGTCGGGGTCGGGGTCCCGCCTGGGCTGAAGCTGACGCTGGGACCCGGCGCGAGACTGAGCCCGGGGCCGGGGCTGGCGCTGGAGGCGGGAGCGAGGGGCCAGTCGGTGCCGGGGCTCGGGCCGCTGGCGTTGGGCGGCAGGCTGTAGTTGTCCGGCAGCAGAGTGGCGAGGAACAGGGTTGCGTTGTCCGTGCCGTCCATGGCGCTGTCGGCCCCGGCCGGCGCTGCGGGTCTGGCTGTCCCTCCGTCCTGCGGTCTCCGCGCCGCGGTCCGTCGGCCTGTCCGTCGGTGGGCGGCCGCCGGTGAGGCTCTGGCTGCGGAGCCCCGGCTGCGCCCGCTGGCGTCCGCCGCGGCGTCGGTGCGGCGGGGCCTGCGCTCCGGTGTGCGGCCGCCGGCGGGCTCCCGGCTCTGGCCACGCGCAGCCCCGGGCGAGCCCCGCCGCCCGCAGGCCCCGCCCCGCCGCCCTGTCCCCTCCTCTGAATCCCCAGTGAGTGGTTCGGTTAGAGTGCAGCCAGGGGCGGAACAAAGGCCTGACAAAGGACGACAAGGGGAAAAACCGTGCCTGGCCGCCTGTCTGGTTCTCCGCGGGCTCTGCCTCTTTGATAATGAAATCTGGAGAGCCAGACACGAAAAGGGGGCGGGGAGCTTATCTGTGCGCGCACAGAGACCGTGCAAACCGCTCAGACGCTCTCAACCCTGAGCATCAGGGGCTGCTTGACTTAACGTGGGCGATTCCCGGGTAGCAGAACGCAGTAGCTGGCTCGAATTGGCACAGAATTGCTCGTGATGTTTCTGTGTCTGATAGTGGGAAGCCATCAGTACTAGCGGGGTGCCCAGTGATGGCGAAGCCCACTTTACAAGCTCGGTTTTTACAAACAAGAGATCGGAGAAGTCTCAGCCTCATCAACCAAACCAGCAAGTATCTGACTGGATCTGCGTCGTGTTATGTCCTTCTGAGGACAGTGAAGAGCGCGGCTCAGGAAATCCTCCGTGAAAAATGTGTGTTTAGGAAGTTATTGGCAGGTCGGGAGAGGCTATTCCAGCCGCCGCAGATTTATGAAGCTGTATGAGTCGAGTCCTGGCATTAAGATTAAGGACTGAAAAGAAATTAAGGGCTGGGATTTCTCGCTTCAGACATGTTTATCTGGAAACAAATGAAATTCAGCGCTCTTAGGAATGGAGAGCCCACAACTCGCTGTCACTAGATGAACGCTGAAAGGAAAGAACTTCTCTGCTCACCAACCAGACAACGCCTCTGGAGGAGGCGTCCCCCTCTCTGCAGGGATCACAAGTGACAGCTCCCTGAGTTGTGAAAGTGAAGGTAGGAATTTCTAGGCTGAAATTAAGTCTCAGTCTTAGCCCAGGGTTAATCTCGTGTGGCACCAAGACAGAGTGAACTGTCTTCCGAGGCTTGTCCCTCCCCCTTTCCTGACACAGTAACTTCCACTCGCCAAGGGTGGATTGAGCCCAGGCATTTGTTTTTTCTGCTCCTCAAATCTCATGAAAGGGACAGCAGGTATGAAAAATAAGACTAAATGCACAGCATGCTACACCCTTCATCACAAACAGCTACTATCGTCTCCATCCGACTGTGAATTCCAGGAGGGCTTCTACAAGCATTTAGGAGAGTAATATACGCTATACCTTTCCAAAACACCAGACCCCCCAAACAATGAAGTAACATTTATAGAGCTTCGAGGGAAGGGGGCTGTGATGAAAAATATTTTAAGTTTTCATTTTGTCTTTTGTAGGTAAGAGAAAGATATTTAAGGCCAGGTGTAGTGGCTCACGCCTGTAATCCTAGCATTCTGGGGGGCTGAGGCAGGTGGATGGCTTGAACTCAAGAGTTCAAATCCAGCCTGAGCTAGAGCGAGACCCCATCTCTACTAAAAATAGAAAAATCAGCCAGGCATGTGGCAGTGCCTGTAGTACCAGCTACTCTAGAGGCTGAGGCAAGAGAAGCTCTTGAGCCCAAAAGTTTGAGGTTGCTGTCAGCTGTGATGAAGCCACTGCACTCAACCTGGGGTGACAGAGTGAGAATTTGTCTCAAAAGAAAGAAAAAGATATTCAGATATACAATGAACCACACTCTCCAAATGCCCAGTATACTGGGAGACGTGCAGAAACAGACTAGATACGGGGAAGGCACTGCTGAGACTTTACCTTCTTGAAACCACGTTACTAAGAGAAGCCAAGGACACAAATGGGGGAGGATCTTGCTGGCCCAACTGTGCAGGCCCCTCCTCTGTGCCTCAGAATTCCTCCTCATGTTAATGATCCTAAAACCCAGAATCAAATTAAACAGGCAGTAATTAGAGACAGACCAACTCATCCAACGGACTCCTCTTGGGGTTTGAGAAGAGACTTGCGAGGCAATTTGTGCAGTGGGCAGAGATTGAGAACAGAAAGGGCTGGGCCGGGATCATAACTCACCAGGATCCTGCCGACCCTGCACACTTGCCGGCTTCCTGGGGCCTGCAGACCTACTATCAGTCCTGCTGGTGGTTATTGTCAGTGGAAAGAAGGCAGGTGTTTTTGCCTCCTCTCCTATTTCTGATCTTTCTCACTATTCACAGGAAAAACCCAGGATTAGGACCAGGCTTATTCTTTAGGTGTTGGTGATTCTTTTTTTTTGGCCGGGGCTGGGTTTGAACCCGCCACCTCTGGCATATGGGGCCGGTGCCCTACCCTTTTGAGCCACAGGTGCCAGTTCTTTTAGGACTTGGCTTGGGTCATTTTCCTTCCCCATGGCCTCCTGTTTACTCTTGCTGTCACCAAAGAGCGGCTTGGTCCACCCCGAGGGGACAGAATACATAGAAGGGAGAGATAATATAGCATTTGGAAAATAGCCTCGCTATTTGGGGGGAAAATAAATTTAGAGCCTTGTGGCAGAGAATACACCAAAACTATTCCAGGTGGAATAAAGGCTTAACTATAAAAACGCAATAAAATACTAGAGAAAAATATTGTCAAGTATTTATCTCATCGTTGGACAAGGAAAATCTTTCTAAGCAGAAAGGTAACAGAAGAAATCATAATAAAAACTCCATAGATAAGGACACAAAAAAATTTTAGCCTTTGGCATAGTGGAAAAAACACTATTTAAAAAAAGTAAAAGCTTGACCGAGTGTGGTGGCTCACACCTGTAATCCTAGCACCTTGGGAAGCCGAGGCAAGTGGATCACCTAAGCTCAGGAGTTTGAGACCAGCCTAAGCAAAAGAGAGAATCTGTCTCTATTAAAAATAGGAAAATTAGCAGGGTGTTATAATGGGCACCTGTAGTCCCAACTACTAGGGAGGCTGAGGCAAGAGCATCTCTTGATGCCAGGAGTTAGAGGTTGCTGTGGGCGATGATGACATGACCCTCTACCCACGGTGACAGAGTGAGACTCTGTCTCAAAAAAATTAATTAATTAAAAGCTAATTACAAAAGGAGAAAAAATATTTGGAGCGTATATAAAGCCAAGAGATCGAACAGTTTTATTGTGTTGTTTTACAGGAGATGGTGCATCCCCTTTGACCCAGGAAACTATGTTCAGATGTTTATCCTAAGGAAACCATCAGGGATTTTTTAAAAATGAGAAATACACTGAGCACCTACTTTGCGCTGGACACTCTTCTCAGCTTTCCTATGGAATTATCTTTACATCCTTACAACAGTAAGGATGGCATTCAAAAAGATTGGACCCACTTATATCAAAATATATTGGATAATGGAAGACTTTTGCATCCTTATATTCTCTTTATCTTCCTGCATACCACCACCACCCTCTCATAGAAACCAAAATAGTCAAACAAGTGCCTTGAGAATGTACTGGGGTATTTTGTTGTCATTGTTTTCAGAGACAGGGTCTCGCCGTGTCCCAGGCTAGCTTGCAGGGGCATCATCACAGCTCACCACAGCCCTGTACTCGGGGGCTCAACTAATCTTCCTGCTTCAGCCTCCTGAGTTGCTGGGACTACAGGTGCTCCCCTCCACACCTGGCCTTCATACTGGGTTTTAAGTAGTATAACAGGTAATTTTTCTAAATCTATCAAAGCAGCTTGACTTGCCCCTTACCTGCAATTTCACTCTCAGGTTTCATCATTCTGAGTGGCATGATGATGTCACACAATCCTGCCTGCATAGGATCTGAATCACCTTTAACCAGCATCTCTACACTGTCTACACTACCTGCCCATTAGCCACTTAGTATCCAAGGCTCAGCCATCAGATTGATTGTTGAGGAGTCACCATGCTTGTGTTTGAGGAACCCTTATTTTATTTCATAATGGTCCAAAAGTGCAGGCATCGTGATCGTGGCATACTGACATGATTGCTCATAATTCAGTTATTAACTTCTCACTATGCCTAATTTTCAAATTAAACTTTATCAGAGGTATGTATGTGTAGGAGAAACACAGTATCCGTAGGGTTCAGTACTATCCCTATTTCAGACGTCACTGGGGGCTTGGAATGTGTCTCTTGTAAAGAAATCTGAAACAGGAGAGTTGAGTGGAATATTGCTGTTTGCTGGTTTGCATCTAAAAGCAACATGGCCTGCTAATTACATTGCTTTATATAATTAAGTCTATTTTACAGAATAAATGTCAGTTTCTAACAACATTAATTACTCCTTACTAATTCAGTAGTGATATAACCAAGGACTATTTTCTGTGTCAGAAATGTTTACTACACTTAAAACCCTTATTAACCCACAATATTATCTTTATCTTACAGTTGGCATGTAAGTCTGTGTACTTTGTCAGTGAGGCCTGCTTGTTGGCACCTGGAGAATTAGGGCCTGTTAAAACCTGTTCAGGACAATCTGAGTGGCCTGTGGATGAGCCGGGCAGATGTCCTATGTACGGACACCTCACTGATAGACTTGTTAGATGCAGCAAATAAAAATGCAAGATGCCCCAGTTTCATCTGAATTTCACATAAACAACAAAAACATACTATAAAGATGCCTCAAATACTTCATCTGGCAATCTTGCCTAGAGACAGATGATCATTTGAAAACTGAAATGGGGCTCGGCGCCTGTGGCTCAAGCGGCTAGGGCAGTAGCCACACACCTGAGCTGGCGGTTTCGAATCCAGCCTGGACCCGCCAAACAATGACACTGCAACCAAAAAATAGCC